TATATATATATATATAGTAATACATATTTAAAAATCAATAAATAATCAATCACTAAATAACTATAGTAATAATACTATTTATTAATAATAATAATAATAATAATTTATTTTACAACATTAACATTACAAGATTAGAAACTCATAAAACTTAAAAAATAAATAAATGATCTTTTGAGTTACGTGTGTAAATATGCTTATGAACATGAGATCTGCCTTACAAAAGTTCCAGATATTTCTGTATTCATTATTGTTATTATTTATTCTTAATCTCTACTTTTCTGTACAACACAAATGTAAATAAGCGGACATGTTGAATTAGACGTATTTATTATCATATATTTAGGTGTTATAAATTCTCAAAGGTGAGAATAGTTTTTCACAAGCTGTTACTACAACATGAATTATATATGAAACACTAAATCTGAGGTCGAAACTAATATTTATGTTCATTTCATACTCATAAATGGCGTGTAATTGCTTTCAAGCGTCTTCATACAGTATCACCTTGGGAATCTGATCGAATGACCTAATAAAAGTCTTTAATTCGAGCGCCGGAGGGGAGAAACGCAGACTTATTTTCTCATTAAGAATCTGTCACGCTTCTAATTGTGTGTTTTATTTTAAAAGCTCTTCATGTTTAATTCAGGCCTTTGTGTTGTACTGCAAACCCTCAGGACATCTGCATAATTTATGCACCGAAAAAGAGAACACGCCGTTAAAGTCTGGAGTATTGCAAACATTAATAAACTCACACGCATCAGCGGGATGAATTATTAAAATAAGAATCTAGTCTGGTTCAAAACGAGGCTGTCGGCACATGTTCCTTCATCGCTGCTCATTTCCATCGTGCCATTCGTCTTCATTACGTCTGCTGCTAAGTAACGTTGTGAGGTCATCACGCAATCACGACGCAAAATTGTGTCACTGCATCAAATCTCAGCAAAAAATATATTTTATGTATGTTAATTTATATTTGTTCGTAATATAATAATATAAATGCATAATATAACATTAAACTGTAAACAGCTATTTTTAAATACATTTTTGAAAACATACACATTTTTGAACGATTACAATTTAAGTTTTTTTTTTTATTAGCTAGAGAACAAAACTACTCATTCTGAACAGTTATAGTTTTAAAGGAGACATATTATGCCCCTTTTTACAATATGTACTATAAGTCTCTGGTGCCCCCAGAATGTGTCTGTGAAGTTTCAGCTCAAAATAC